TCAGTAATTGCTTTTTATCTAACAAATTAGCACATGTAAAATTCGGATGACTAGCGCGATATAATGTCTAAAGCAGGAATTCCTTTTAATATCAGTGCTTCTATYTTTCGTATTGTCAGTATTGTGTAGTGGTTTTAGTTCCTCTGAAGCGAAGAATAAATATTTGCTATTGAAAATTAAAAATCTTTTTGAACTAAGTCTTTTTTTAACTACCTTTTTTTTACAAAATGAGGTGAAGTTACAAGAAATGATTTTAATGTTGATTATGTTATCTAACGGCGTCGCTGTTGTTTTGTCTTTGTGTGGTTTTAACAATAACTTCAGCTAAATGACTTTGCTCGTCTTTGTATGAATTCTGAAGCAATAAAATGTTTTTATTTAATGTTTTTCTTGACTCTATAAACTTTTCATTCTGCTTTTAATTCACAATGCAGCTGAAATTCGGATCTCCAGCGCAGCGTCCGTCGAAACTCATGATCACATTCGCAATGACTTCGAGGAAAATTGATTACAAGAAAGTGCGTATACAGAAAGTTAGCTTTTAAAAGTTAATGTCAAATAACAAAAAACCAGCATCAAGAAAAATGATACCAGGCTTTAAGAGAATTATTGAAATCACAAAGAACAAAAACAAGAAAGGGACGCGGATGAAAGTGATATGTAAGATAATGGCATGAACTGCGCCCAACAGAACGCGTTATATGGTATTTTAACACCTAAAATTCGTTTTTACAATTTCATTTTGAGTTTTGCTGATATATTTATTCCGCAAATGTCATAACAAACATGAACGATTGTCGTGTATACTCCCACTTCTAGGTTGCGTTCTGCGGTTCGTTTAGTCATAATTTTACGAAAGCACCCCAACCGACTATAACACGCAATACTGATTACTTAGAATCCAAGCCAGTCTTCAGTGATATGGATTCCGGAAGTCGAACATTATACAATAATAGCTATCCCCGATATTTGAGCGTCTGCGCCATAAAGAGAGGCATTTTGAAAGCCAATTCAATGTCAAAACTCCCTCGACTCATGAATTGAATAGGACGTTTTTGAGATAATTAGTTGTTCATAATTCATGTAACTAAATAGCCATGGGCAAAATGAACGAAGTTGGAAGGTACGACGCGCTATTTTACTTTTTCTTGCGGGCGTAAAACAATTATGAAAATACTAATACAGATTTATTGTTCGTAAATGTTACTTACAAATATGACGCTTCTCTATACAAATGGATGTTCAGTTTATGAAACAGGTGCTTATAAGGAAGACGCCATTAGCTTCTAATGGGAGGATATACATAGTGTCATCTGTAAATCAACGTTATATTTGGCGGATATAAAATATTATTAAACTTCGGGACAATAATAATGAGAAGATAGCTTGGAACAATACTAACGTTCATACTGGCTGTATTCGTGAATAAATGGATGGGTGGGTGGATGTATGGATGGGTGGGATGGATGGATGGTTTTGATGAATAAAGCTTGAACTGATAGATATCGGTGAGGGGTTTTTTAATGGCAAATCCATCAAAATAAAGCTAATATGAATAAATTAAAACAATGAAGTGCAGTGGGCCATTTTAATGACAAAGTGAAAGTTTTCATTGTGTACGAATACCTCGGGTTAGATGACTCGACTGAATGCGCTTGATTGATGGTTTCCGTGGGTGATCAACCAATACGTTGAACATCTTGAATATTATACCTTTTTACCAATACAGCCCCCATCTTGAATTCCGTTCTGAAGAAATTGTGGGATGTCCATGAGGAGGCAAAGGCACGCATTTTTCAGTATAGAATGGAACCGAAAAATTTCGGTCTTTAAAATTAAATTAATGCTTGAAAACATTCAAATGTGTTACGTTTTTAAGTGTTTTTCACTATTTAATTAAAGATGTAATATTTAATGTTATAGCATTCTAAAAGGGACTATAGTTTAAAATATATTTTTTTTTATTGCCTGGGCATCCCATAGAGTAGTTTCTTTAAAATTGATACTTAAAACAATAGAATTCAAGATGCCTGCCGTTATTAAAAAGGTCCGTTTTCCTTCGATGGGATGCACTTCATCTGGCTCAGTGAGTAAATCTTACGCGGACATGAATGTAAACCATGTCTTCCTTGTACTGCGGCCATATTCAAATATATACAATGAAAATAAAAAAGTTACCGAGTGTTTTTTTACTAATATGTGTCCTTACCCGTTGAATAGTTTATTTACGACGCCCCGAGGGCTGCCGGTTAAATGGGGCTGAGGATCACACGCGTAAACGGATTTTTGGCGCCGGTAAATAAACTATCAGAAGGCTAACTTCCAAACTCTAATATCCCGGGTACAGTGTACCGACTTGGATTGTAAGCATGGCTAACGTTTAATACATTCTTCATAAAATGGTCTTGTATCTATCTGTAGACCGTCTAAGTACATATACGTAAAATTCCTTATACATCTTAGATCCGAGAAGATCTATATATCGTAGACCCCCCCTCCCCCTTCGACTGTTCGACTAAGTCTGAAAAAAAAATATGAATAAAAAGAGGGTCCACAATAGGATGTTTTCAATCCCGCCATCCCGCTAATCTATTTTTACAATCCCGCAATCCCGTCAATTTTAATGTCGCAATCCCGATCCCGCATTATCAACAGCTTATTTTATTACATCCTCTCGCGTTGTTTAACTGTACATGTACGAAATATTTTGTGCAACTACTTTTTTTCCGCTCCACTTTACATGACAGACGTCTTTCATTTCGTGTTTGTGGTGTTCATTCTCTCAGCATTACTTGACAAAATAGTCTTTTATTTCATTTTTGCAAAGGAACGAGTTTCCACTCGACGTCCTTCGCTCGTAGAAGAGAGCCAGACAATTAATTACATCTACTCGACCGCCAGTTGAGTTAGTTGAGGCCGTAACGGTCTGTTATTTTATTTATTACTCGTGAATAAAGTAGTCCTGGGTTCTACTTCTGTAACACTACACGAAACAAAAACAGTTGCGAGACAACAATTGTTTTACTGTGAAATTCATAGAGGAGGGTCTCGATGGAGGTCTACGTCAGTTGACGGCTAAAAAACGACGTTTTGACGGTTAATTTTTTACTTTTTTATCTTTACGTTTAAGATGGGCTAACTAATGCGCCTTTTCAAAAAGAAAAACTAGAGAAGAAAAAACTTGTCACTAAACTAAACAAATTGGAACGCAGAAATCACGTATCTCGCGGCAAAGTTTTAGAGTTATCCCGATCCCGCCGCGAAAAACGCAAAATCCCGATCCCGCTTGCATTTTAAGATCTCGCATCCCGTCAAAATTTTCGTCCAGATCCCGAATCCCGGCATCACAAAATGGCTTATCCCGCATCCCGCAAAACCTATTGTGGACCCTCTAAAAATATACAATGCGGAAAAGGAGACTAGGGGTTATTAAATACACTCTGCTTTAGATATAATTCGGAACTAGACCCACTAATTAGAAATTGTTTCTGCTGATGGTTCAAAAGTTTTATTCTTTAGGTAGACTTGGATCCCTAACTTTAAATGTTAAACTTACATAAGTACATCAAAACAAGAACTTGATCTATTTAACTAGTGTAGTGTATTTTTAAGCCTTGATGTTTATTTTTTAAGCCTTAGGGCTCCAAGTGATCAGTGCGTTACAAGTTTTACTGATGTGGCTGGCTCGAAGTCTTACTTTCTGACAAGTTTGAGTTGTAGCACACTAATAAGTATTATATATAATAGAAAGAAAGTTTGCTATAAAAGCAAGGACGTGTCATATATTCACAAGGAAGTATTACTTAATATATACGAAACAAGTTTTACTTGTGTAGAGAAATATTAGTAAACAAATGGCGTGCCATAGAAACACATCAAATGTGAAATGTTCTAGGCAGATAGAGATCAAGAAATTGTTTGTATTTCAGTCTTACCAAGAAATTCTGAATAATGTCTAAAACCTAGAGTGATAGACAGCTAGCTTAGTCAACTGACCTAAAACTGAGCAAATAACAAAAAACAAAAACCTTAAAAACTCAGACACCTTAAAAAGAAAAACAAAACAAATCAACTAAAAAACAACAACAAACAAACAGACAAACAAACAAACAAACAAAACACCTTAAAATTTATAATTCCAATATCAATTTTACTTCAATCTAAGTTGTTTCCTCTATTTGCAGACAGACTGTATAGGGGCTATTTGTTAATCATTTAATAACATTAAATGAAACGTCAATTGTGACCTATTTGTGCAATRATGCTAACTTATGACCCGCAGGGAATTCGGTAGATCAGGGTAGATGAATGAATCATAAATCATCAAATCATCAGGTAAATGTCGTAAATGGATTTATGAATGGATGAATAAATGGGAATGAACGAACTTGATATCAAAWGCTAAAGCTTTTTTGTCGTTTGACATATCCGAAAATGAATGAGACGCCGCGCTAGATTAACTACAAAACTCCTCCTTGCAGTCCTTGGTCTTTTATGTTCTTTTCTTAAATTATCCTTCACATGAAATAATGGATTTTGATAAAGCAATCCCGTTTACGAGGAATGCGTGGGTAGACGACACGACTGAGACTTATAACAGTTATCTTGTAGATGCAAGACTTTTCTAGACACGATGAAATAATTGAATCGGTAGAYATGGCTCACATAGACAAGACAATGTTCAATTTATTTTTAGATATGATCAAATTGTAGAAATTATATTCTGTATGTGAGATTTGCCCTCTAATCAGTCGCGCGTTTATTTTACAGTAAGATTATTTTTACAAATTCATCACTTTGTATATAACATGCAGTCTCGTACTCATTCATATACGTATCTTAGTTATTTATTTTCCTGGTCAGAGAATTTCAAGCTGCGGTTTTCCATTGAAGTTAGTTGCGTTCAGTTGGTGGCTCAGGTTACCTGTGTCGCTTTGGAACTGTCGTGTACTGGAACTAGCATGATAGCGAGTCTATGTTCCTTCTTCCAATATGGCCGCCAAACCGACTGTCCGCCAAACCTGAAGTAGTTAGAAAAACAGACTCCGTAGAAGTTATGAACGGTTTGAATTGATTAGCTAGCGATGGCTTACATGATAAGTTTTTGTATTAATTAACAATTCATAAAGATGTCACGACATAGAAATGTCAGGAACTACGCTTATGAAGATGGTAAGTTTGCATTTTATTAGATAGTCCTCCGATCCATCCATTGAATATTCCTCGAACTATCTCGCATCATGTTGGTACATTTCGTATTTATTTCGTGTTGAATAATTGCAATGATGTTAATTGATTGTTTTTATTAGTTAAGAAGTGAGCTTGCAACAAATGATAATAATTAACTTAAATTAGCATGTACTTGGGATAAAATGTGGTGAAATCGAGGAAGTATGAGTCGAGTTTCCAACATTTAATAGAGCCCCACTCTAAGTGTGATTTTTATAACTTAACGTGTTTGAAATGAATATTTTACCCATTTTTGCAAATCCCACTTCATTGTCAGTTTTTTTTTTGGGAAAAACATGTAGCTAGTGCAATTTGTACGGGACAATCTGGTTTTATCTTTTCATTTCATTAACTGATAATCATTGTTGCGACAACTGTCAGAGAAAAGTCTACAGCAATAATAAAACTTATATAGCYTCTGTTTAAATGTGTCAAAGCCGTAACAGTTTTGAATAATACTTTTGAATATTACTTTTTGAAGGAGGGTTATAGTTTTCTTTCATAGTACGTAAATTGAGTGAAACTTTTGTTTTATTTAAGTGTTGTTGTTGTTGTTGTTTAGATATGTCAGATGATGTCTATGGGCATTCTGTGGAAGATCATGACATGTGCGTTTCACCGTCTACAGGTAAAAGATTTCACCTTGTCAAGATATTGCAGCTAGAAATAATAAAATCAAACTATGAAAAAAATATAGAAAGAAAGAAAAATAAAGTGTGACAAATATAATTGAAGGGAAAAGGAAAGGCAACAAAATAAATGTAAAAGAATGAATATGTTTTGCAAAGAAAACAATAAAAAGATAGAAATGAAAGTAAAAGAAAGAAATTGAGTGAAAAAGAAGAAAAAATCTTCAAAAAAACTTGGCCTCCTCTGCAGGCATCTCTTTCCTCTGAAAAAATAGTGGCATACCTGTGGAAATGCAAAATRATTGCAGTGGAGGCGATGATCAACTCAAGGGTTTTTTTTGTGATTAAGTTAAAAATTAAAACTTTTAAAATCACAAAAAGAACTTTTTTATTAGAATTTCAGAATTTCTTTATTATTCCAAGAGAGGTAATAACAATCTAAACCTTTTGCTATATTTGTTGAAAATCCCAGCACACCAGTTTATGTACAACCGCAACAATGAAGACCACAAGAGAAATGTTTTTGGTCATTACATGGACACACGGTTTGGTAGTGTAGAAGAACAAGTTGAAGAAGAAGAACAGTCAGAGGAAGAAGACCTTTTGTCCCATTCACAGGATTACAGAAGACCACAATTGGATCCTATCAGTCAAGGTAATAATGTTCTTCTCACCCCTTCTCACCTTTGCATCCTCTGTAATTCTCTTCTTCCATTCCTTTTGTTCTATATTGTTTTGTTTTTCTTTAACTCTTTTTCTGCTTTCTTTCTTTCCTTGTTTTGTCTATCTCTTTGTTCTAATTCCTTTCTTCCATTTCTTCATTTTTTCCTTCCTTCCATTCTTGCCTTCATTTATTTCTCTTATCCCATTTTTATTCTCTTTTTTTATTTTTTATCTTGTCCCATCTCTTCTTTACATGTATCTTTCTTTTTTACCATTTCCCAACCTTTTTCCCTTTTGACATTTTCGTTTTATAATATTTTTCTCGCAATAATGTATTACAATTATATGTATACGTCAGTGATTATGGTTTATTTCTTTTAGCTAAACTGTCATCATGTTTGGATCAGCTCCAGTCAATCTTGGGCGATGACTGCCATGAGCCAACAGCAGTTGAAGCAATTATCAAGTTTGATTTTGATGCTGAAAAAGCCTTAGACTACATCTTTGAAAAAGGTAAAATCCTACCATGAAGAAACTTTAGGATGTTGACAGTTACATCATGTGATATTTGGTAGATTTGTCCCCACAATGATAACACTGAGTGCTTTAGAGCAAGATACTCCTGACGTCCTATTTATGAATTCAGGATAAAATTAAATGTTGTTATAGCAAGAAGATAGAGATAAAAGATAAGTCTTTTTTATTTATATCATTTCAGGAAACAACAAAGCCAGCAGCAAGCAGACAAAGAAATCAGGTGTGTGGATTAAGCAATTATGATTCTTAAGATTCTTAATGTAACCAATATTATTATGACATTTAAAAAATATTAATGATAGTGATGATAGTTCTGATGATAATAATCAAATTATAAACGTTTTAAGTTGCAACAATCTTTCATTTGACTTATTTGATGCCTTGATTTTTTTTCATGTTTGTTTCTATGGCTGCTATGGCAACAATAAGGTAAGACTCTATTTCATGTCAAAACATGTCAAGGAAATCAGCTCCAAGTGTCACTATGCTTAATTCTCTGTCTTCAGAGCATACAACTCCAACGCAACTTCACTCAAATAAAAACACCGATAMCTTGAGCTCCCTTACGTCAGAACCYCTGAATRCTATTGTAGAAAAAGACAAACCAACTAAGGACTCTTTTCCTTTTTCCAATTTTCAAAATGTGTCAAATAATAATTCTTCTTTAATGGGGCTGTCATTGAAGTCTTTATCTGAACAAGGGGAGTCATCTAAGAGWCAACATCACAGCATGACTGAAGGTGAACTCATGGCATCGTCAYTGTCCAGTTTARCTAACTCAAGTGTTAATGAATTTTCTGGCATTACTAAGCCCACTAGTTGTAGACTTACTGAAAGTGATCTTATGTCAACATCATTGTCAAGTTTAGCAAATCAAGGTGGAACAAAGGGTGTAACAAAATGGCCTGACAAGAATGAAAACACAAMTGAAAGCGCTCTTTTTACCACATCACTGTCAAGCTTGGCTAATCAGAATTTTTATGGAAATGTGCTGGGGCTGCAAGACACTTCAAAGACTAATAATTTTTCAGAAACAAGTTTGATGTCAGCACCATTATCAAGTCTGGCAAGTGATTCTCATCTTCCAAAGTCAGGAATCTCACCCTTTGATGTAGTGACRGCTACTTCTTTATCAAGTCTAGCAAGACAGAGTGATTTGACTTTATTGCCTTTAAATTCAAAACCAGAAGAAAAATTCCCATTGGGTACATCATTGTCAAGCTTAGCCAATGAAAGTAATAAAGGAATATTATCAGAAAATAGCTCATCTGCAAGTGGACAGGATTTAAATCATGRGTTTTTAGAGACATCTTTATCAGCTCTGTCACTTTCTTCTCTGACTTATAAGAAAGATGTTGAGAAACCTTCCATGTCATCAATTGGTTTGGAGTCCATTGTTTTCAAAAAAGGCACATGTATAAATGATGGATTACGAATTGCAGCACATAAAGAAACTAAGCAAAGAAAACACCATGACAGTGCTAAGAAAAGTCTTATGTTGTCAAAGGAAACCACAGCAGGAAAGGCAAAGAAACACCGAACAAGAGCCAAACAGAATCCACTCTTGAGAGTCAAGCCGTCTATGTTTGCTTTCACAATTTGTTATTCTGCTAAAAGAAGATGTGATGTTCCTGTCAAAAGGTTAARCTCAATAAACAGATATTTTGGATTAGGAAACATTGTCCCTTTTGACTTTAAAACACCATCACCTGATGATGTCATCCAAAGAAAACAGAAAAAAGGATTTTCTCGCTAACTGTTAATAATTTTTTTTATCTAAACTACTATTTTTTTTATCATTGTGTGACTGTTTAAAATTGATCAATATCAATATCTGACTGACGCATATAGCAGTGACAATTGTAATCAATAATATTGTATTTGTATTAAGATATTATTTTATGTAATTAGTGTACAACACTTTCAAGAATGTTGTCATTTATTAAAATAAAACACATTTTGTGAATTATTGATTTATTGAAAAATAAAAGAAGATAG